GTTAGGATTTAGGGTTAGAGTTATTAATAAAAGAGTATAGGTGGATTTTGGCAGGGCTTATATTTTCAAATTGAGACCCCCAAATTTCACGATGACGACAATCCACGACAATTATTATTAATTATGAATATATTTTATGTCGTTTAATATTTATTACTTTATATTTTTCAAATAGTATGCTGATGGTATTCCAGAACTCTTTTCAACCCATGTTGCCTTACAAGCGCTTAAAAATGTTGGTTTTGAAATAGAATATGCTCAAGATATAGCTATCAATGATGATCCCATACCTTGGTATTATCCTCTTGAAGGTGATCTTAGAGGTGCTCAAACTTTGGGTGATTATTTTACTGTTTTCCGTATGACTAGATTAGGCAGATTTTGTACTAGAGCTTTGGTAAATATTTAAATGTTCTCTTGCATTAATTTCTGTATAAAATCGTTTCTAATGGATATTTTTTAAATAATTTAAGGTTGGTTGCCTTGAGAAACTTGGTATTGCACCTGCTGGCTCACTTCAAACTCAAAGTGTACTTGAGACTGCTGGTGATTGTATCGTTGAAGGTGGAAGATTGGGAATTTTTACTCCTATGTATTTGTTAGTTGGTAGAAAACCTGTTGATATTGATTTGTAAAAAAAAAAATAACTTAGTGGAGGATTTAGTAGGTGAATGGTAGATCAAACTTTGTGTGGTTTTGTCCGCACCTATTTTTAGATCTAATGCTTGTGTTTTCCTAATTTTTATAACAGTATCTGTTTTTCTAATAATAATGCTTTTACTAAAACAAAATTAGTGTTTTTTTTTTTTTTTTTTTTAAACACCTATACAGTATATGCATTGTCTCAGAAACTAGCTAATTAATTTGTGTGCAGTACTCTAAGATGTTTTTACAACTTTTATATGTAAAACTTAGAAAAAATATATAGGTGCAAAAAAAAAAAAAAGTGTATTTCAGAATAAACGATATATATGTGGTCAACACTCACTAAAATGAACTTGTATAAACTGAATTCTAAGACTGAAACAAAAAGTTTTAAACTGAACTTTTTTTACATCTAAGCTATAAGCATAGTTGATAGCATACAATAAGATATCAGATTATACATTATCATTATCATTGTTATATGTTATAGCAATTTTCTTACGTAATTTTGATGTGCAAATAGATCTGCATTTTTTACTTTTTTTTCTCCCGAAAAATTATTTTAAAAATGTTTTTACCACCGGTTCAGCATGGAGCAACGGTACTTAATCGTGAATTGTTTCGACGCACCGTTGAAGTTATTGGAGTACGTGTACCTACAAACTCAGTAGCAAAGTTTTTAAAAGTGGTGAACAAGTAAGTTTAATAAATAAGATTTATGCACGTTTTTCTGAATTTTTGTTGATATTTAATGAATATAGGGATTTGTTCAATCAACCAAAACTGAAAAATGTTGTGAACGATCCTGAATCATCAAATACAAAAATTATCTTGTTGAATCCTAATGTTGAAAGTATAGGTATTGTCTAGGTACATTCAAATCTATCTAAACATTAATTTTAAATGAAAATTATTTCTAAACTTTTAAGTGTTGAATGAGAACTTTCTGTTATATACAAATAGTAATAGTATAACATTTTATCTTTTGTATAGAATTGGACAATATATCTAGCGAGATTAAAATTTTCATAAATAATGAGGGACTTGGTACTGTAAAACATTCAGTTGAATTGAATTATGATTACTGGGGAGCTGGTAAATATCTATAATGGTATATGATGTTCTAATCAAAAAGATCCAATAATATTTAACTGGGAAAACTATTTGTATACTGAATGCTAAGATGATATAATTAAGGCAATATTACCAAGTGGTGTTGAATCTCCAACATCATTTACTCAGGTTGGACATATTGGTAAGAATATTTTTTGTTTACAAGGAAATTAGAATTTTATTTTTGATTAATGGATCTAACTTTATCTATCAAACTTAGCACATATGAATTTGCGTGATGAATTCCTTCCATGGAAATTTATAATTGGTCAAGTTATTCTCGATGTAATTACCTTTATTTT